CTTGTAAAATTATATACTACTACATACTACACTTTATATGACCAAAAAATAAAAAAAATAGCTGTACTGTAATTGTCTGCAGCTTTGCTTACGTAAAGAACACTCAGTATGAGCATAATTTTTAAGCATTAAATATCAACGCTCGTATCTTTTTGGTAAACTTATCCCCGATTCCGCGCTCAAATATTGTTAATTGCATAATAACAAAAAGAAAATTAACTATACATGGCAATGCTCTGTAATTTTTAAGAATCAACTTCACGAAGATAGTTTCAAGTATGATATGTTAAGTTTCCGAAGATCTAATTTGTTTGTGACTATATTATACCAAAAAAATATACAATAATAAAATCGATTATAACCGTACAGTTAATGATATTATTTTTATGAGACGTTTCCACGCAGCTCGTACAGAGCTAGTTTAATCACTGTTTCTCTGCAACTGTTTTCATGTTAAAGATAATGATATTCCAAAATTATGAAAAGGAGAATAAAACACGGGAATAACGAAGTTTTCTTTATCGATTATATTCTTGTAATAAAGATGTCAGTCTGAATCTTATTTAATCTTGAAGTACTCGAGATCAACATTAGTTTGCAGTTTTATAAATTTTGTAACGTCGAATCATACAGTCTACAACACGATTATTTCTAACTTTTAGAAGAATTTCCAGAGGCAATTAGCTTCAATATTGATAAAACGGTACAAACGAAATCATTTTAGGCTAATCTTCATTGAGATTTTTTAATTTAAAGTATTATGAAATGAAGCTAATTCCAAATACATCAAGATGAAAGGATCCCATGTCTTTGTCTAATTAATATGCTTTTTATAATACGATGATCGAAATAATTTCTATGAATTAGGAAGTAATAAAAATTAATAAAATAACTTGGTTGGAATTTAAATTGTTCACGAAGATTCCGTGGATTTGCCTGTATGTTGGATATTCTGTGCGAGAAAGAGCGTAACATTTGAATATAATAAATAATATTCCAAGATTTTGAAGAAAAGTATTTTTGGTTTAATGACAAGCGACGCGAGTTGGTGCTTTTCGAAATCTTTTAATATTTTGAAGAGATTCTGAAAACATAAAACGCGGTAAGACCTTTTGAATGATTCACGGTCATATTTTTAATCAAGATAGACTGTTTCGAGCAGATTCGCGTGCGAGATGTCTGACTGATAATGGTCTCTAAACCTTTAGGTCATTACTAGATTGAAATAGGAAAAAGTCAAATACATTCTTTTAATTGTAATTTCACTAATGCTTCATTTTCCTCTCGATTACCAAGTGAATATTTTTTAGATATTTTACTCAAACGGTTAGCAGTGTTTGATGAAAATTAAACATCTATGACGAACTAAATGTTTAGATATCAAATGAAAAACCGGATTTTAAAAGCTATGTTTATGTTATGGGAAGTGCTATAAAATCTGCGATAAAAAAGAGAGTTAAAAGTATTTTTTCGTATAGAGTAACAATGATTTATTCAAAAATCTACTTCTAAGATATCACGTGGAAGCTAATTTTGGTTTATCTGTAATAAAAGTGTTTATAAAATACGACCGTTATCGCGACACACAACGACTAGTTTAAATTTAGAAAAAAATGTATAGTTTAGCAGTAATTTGGCACCGTACATCCAAATAATCTGTGAGAAGAAGCTGAGATCTCAGTTGGAGCAATATAACATGCGGCTGAATTATTTTGGAGTAAAGTGCTGTGAAAATAACGTGAATACCGGTTCGAATATACCGAATGTTGGCGATGTTGAAAAATGAAAGCTGCCTACTGTGGCTGACGAGCGAAGCAGTAGCGCTCGAGGTATACGCGTGGATCCACTGCAGACGTCACTCGGAGACGTCCTTACTCAGCAAGAAAAAAAAAAGGAAAAAAAGAGCAAACAGTGTGGGCTGATGATGAGGACATTTATCTTGGAGGACTGTCTTGACATTTTGCGGACATGTTTTCGGGAGTCAGAAGACGCGGGGGCCCCGACGTAAGGTCTCGATCCGTCGGGCGACTCGTGGGCGACGGCGGCGTCGCGCGGATCCCGCTGCGAGGAGCAAAGCGCGCCCGCGAGCAGGCCCCCACAGCCTCGCGCGGAGTTTCCAGCTGCGCGAAGCCAATTGTTTGACCAACAGCGACGAGTCATTTGAAAGTCAAACGCCGGTCCGTCGAGGCGCAGCCGACTTTTGCACGCGCCCGTCGCTGCCCGCGCGAAAGAGATGGCTTTATTGCCGCGCTGCGGGCGCAAACTCGCCGCGTAGTCGCCGAATAATTGCTCCTTTGTCGTGGACTTTCGCTTGGAGTGCTGGCTGCTTCTGCTTCTGCTCGCCGCCTCTCGTCACGCTTGCTCGCCGTTCGGCCTGTCGCTTGGTCAGCTTTTCCCATAGTTCTCCGCATCCCGTTCGCTGTGAACTGTCGGCGGCGTCGTCTCCCGAGGCGTCGCCACGGCGGACCGAACTGCTACGTTGCCGCGGAACGCGCAAAAGTCAGGCCCGCGTTTCCAAACGGCAGCCGAGTTTTCGCGAGCTTTACGGAGTCTCGCTTTTCGCGGCGTTCGCAAAATTTCCACGGCGAGTCCCTGACCTTTCGTCGAGCAACGCTGCGGTGGACAATGTTTGGTGTGAATCGAAATTCCGCGAGATAACCGCGCATAAGCTTAAATATACGCGCAAACCGATTTTATATTATATGCTATAAAACGTTTTCGAGCCAACATTGCAGACAATATGCTGTAAATTGCCGTCAGCACGTGTTCTGTCAAGCGAGCTTTTAGCAAAGATCGTTGATAAATCATTCGCTGGCGTTGAAATTGACAGTACAGTGAAGACCGATTGTAGTCCGAAGGAACAGATAACGTCGAGGGCCAATATCATCGGGACGCGAAACTAAATCCGTCCGGGGCAAAAGATGGAAAAAGGCGAGCAACGGGCGCGAGCAACGAGCCGGCTGACGAATGGCACCTCGCGGGACGCGGACAGACGTATGATATGCAGCCCTGGAGATATATCCAAAGCTCTGCACTTGCCGGGATGTCTATTTAAGAGAGAAAAAGCGGCGAGCCGGGGGCGAGTCGACGAAATGGAAGTGCGCGCGCGCGCCGTGTAATGGGGTGGCAACGAGTCCCGGGCGTGCAATTTTCTCTGCCCCCTTTCGTCTTCGCTCCTCTCCTTCTCACTCCCCCGTGCGCGCGTTTATATTATACGTGACGAGAGCACTCGATCCGCGCCGAGTTAATTAACGGACTCGTGGCTCGTGGCTCGTGGCTCGTGGCTCGTGGCTCGTGGCTCTGTCGTCGAACCCGAACCAGAAAGCTTTCCGCGACGCGCCGACGAGGAATATTCCATCGCTGCGCGGATTTGTTGGAATGATGATAAAAACCAGCCCGAGAGCGCGGAGAAATGTCAAAATCAACGCGAATCTCCGGCGAAGCCTCGAGCCGAGCGCGCGCGAGATAAGCGCGCGCGCCACGAGACTCGGGCCTCCTCGCGGGCCTTCCTTCACTCCCGATCTCGTCGCCTCGCCTCCGACGGCGCCAGTCGCGCCACGTTTCGGTCCTGCGGCACGCTCGGCCACTGCCGCCGCGAGCCCGACGAGCTCTTGTCTGCGTTTTCGCTGCTTGGTCGCCCGATGAAAACGGTTAATATGCTCGCGGCCAAATTCCTACGGCTCGTCGGCATTCCTCTATTCGAATCTCGCGAAGCCGATCGATGGCTTTGCGAGGGGCCTACCCAACCCGGTCGCGAAAGCAGCGATTGCAAGAAACGATGACGCCCGACGACGCACAGTGCAATTGTCAGTTGAAAGCGCTGTTATCTTATTCCTAATAAAGCCGAGGGTTTTCATTAGTGACGATGCGATTCTCCGTTTTTTGCTGATGCAAAGCAAGGCACGGCAAACGTGCACAGGGTGAGATTACTTTCGAAAATCGAGGTGTCTAAATCAGTGCCGAACGTTCTCCGTAAAACCTCCGTAAAACTCTCGTTTTTTAAGATGTCAGTTCTTTATCAAAAGCCTTTGCGGACTCTTGGCCACCCTGGACGAGTTTCAGCGACAGTCAGGTACGTAAAAACAAAGGAAATGATGAGCTTTGTTTACATTTTCCAACATTTTCTTTATTGTAAAAACATTAAATCTGAATAGGCACAAAAAGTATTCATCGCGTTTTTTTTCAAATTTTCCACGTGGCGCGTGGAACAATATTACAGGGCTTACATTGGTTTACATTGGCTATTACATAGATTTATCGAATGTTGTTGATTTTTCCGAAATTTGCTACTTATCGCATAAACATGGTGAAACAAGAAAAAAGGCACCAAAGTGACTTCGCGGCTACGCACCGTGCTTAACAATATCACAGGCGTCACAAATTCATGCGCCTCGCAGGTCTGCTTTCATCCTGCATGATGTATATTGCTTCAGAAAAGTCTTAAACATGTTGTAAAAAACGTAAATTCAGAAAAAAGGCACATAAAGTATCGATTATCCTTTTTTTTTCCTCTTCTGCGCGGTCACGTGGCACGTTAACAATTACGCCCATTTAACGTTCAATATTAGCGGAATTCGCTTCTATTGTATAAGCTTAAAGAGGCTATAAAGTAAAATTTGAAAATTTTTATTCTATAGTATTGTTTATTTGTATTGTATTATATTGCTCAAGTTCTCTATCGTACAAGTATTCAATAAAAAAGGGCAATAGATTATGAGATTACACGGAATATAAGAATTTAAAAAAGAGAATAGGGCATCGCATGAAACACTTGAAATGAAGAAAAGGGGGAAGGCGGGGCGTGAAAAAAAAGTACGAGTGTAATATTTGTTTTCGTGCAGGCCGCCAAGGCGAGACGCGCGAGAAACACGGCAGCCCATTTTCGTCATTAGTTTGTTTGAAGGCGCCGTCGCTAACGACGCCCGCGCGTGGGCGTGAGAAATGTGCACCTGCGAGATACCGTTGCGACTCGCTCATTGCGAAAATCTACAAGAGAGAGAGAGAAAAAAGAATCTAAAGACCAATAAAGATCGATCGGTATTTGGATTTTGACATTTGGGCAACGATAAGCGATCTCGGTGATTTACGACGAGCCGGGGAGAACTAGCCGCGAACCAAATACGTTCCTGTACATCGCCGATAGAATTGACGATTCGACCAAGTGTGTACATTTTGTCAAATCTGGGCTATCCATCTCTATGTATTATCAACTAAAGATACAGCTATCTTACATGTGTATCTTTAATTGATAATATATAGTCAGTAGGCCACAGATTTGACACCATGTACGCACTTTGTCGTCATACAGTGCGACGCGGCCGATGGCCATCGAAGCGATCAAAAGAATTTGTCGCTTGTGTCCAATCGATAAAATGACAACTTGCGCGTCGCGTATTGCTTGATAATGAAGACCAACATTGAAAACGACTACTTTCCATGCTTAATCAACGACCGTCGCTGCGGCATTGTCTCGGAAGTTAAATTAGAAGATAAATAAACGATCTTTTTTGCAATTAAAAACAATCTTTATTCATTTCTTTATTTCTAAAACATTTTCTTTTTGCCTTTTTCTGCTTCAAAGTTTTTTGTCACTTTCGAACGCGAATGCGTCGTTACTTAAAATCTACAATTCAACGGTATCTATCGTGAATACTATAAATAAAACGAGGAAAACGATTTGAACCCACGAAATAACAAAACGAAAACGAACATATTTTTTCTTTGTTGAATATTTGTTTTTATTTTGTCTTTTTTACAATGAAAAATTCATTTTCACACGCGAATAATGAAACGAACCTAACATTCGAAATATTCTACCGCATGCATTTGTGAGGAGCGATGACAACGAGAGCGACTTAATAAGATGACCAACGAGCCGTTGATATATATATACAGATATGTACAGATGTATACAAATACAGGCGCAGTACATGTATACGAAGCTAAGAGAATAATATTTACAATAGAATCGACCGTTGGAATCTTAAAAAAGAGCGGCAAGTCTACGAAAACTCCCGCGTCTATCGCTGCCGATGCCGAACTCCGGACTTTAAACCTCGTCCGGCGTCCGACGTCCGACGTCTTGGGCGGCCTGCTGCGTAAACGAGCATCGGATGCCGGGCGACAAGTCCCGACGCCCGACGCCCGATGCTCGGCGCAGAGCACGCCCGACCGACTCACATACAACACATCGACACAACTTGAGTAACAACATTAAACTAAGCAACCAAAACGCAGTATAAGCAAGAAGATTTATTGTACCGACGCGCGTAACGCTGGAGATCTACAGGTTGATGTGCGGATGGTGCGGGACCGCCGCCACTGCCGCGCTGATGAACGGATGGTGCAGGTGGTGCGCCATGAATTCGGCCGATGACGGCGCCGCTGGCATTAGATTATTCATCAAGCTATTCATGTTATTAATACTCAGATTGGACATGCCACCAATGGGAGGGACAGTGGGGGTGGAAGGGCCCGGGACCATTCCATTGTGTCCATCCTGTAGGCCCTGGACACAATCCAAGTTACGTTGGTCCATCTCCACGCGTTTCTTGTTCTGTTTGCGGTCCTTGGCGCGCCGGTTTTGAAACCAGATCTTAACCTGTAAACACGAACGAAGTGGTCCGTCATCCCTTTGATCGTGGAACTCGCCGATATTTCGAGCCAACGCAACAAAGGGACGACTGTCGAATATACTTACTTGACGCTCGGACAGCTTGAGGACGTGAGCTAGCTCAGATTTGCGCCGGATGGTGATGTATCTACTCGAATAAAATTCCTTCTCTAGCTCGATTCTCTGCTTTTCGGTATAGACAACCCTGTATTTCTCCTTAGTGCGGGTCTTGCCTGCGACACAAAAATTACTCAAAGTCAACTCTTGCTCGGCAAACGTAAGTCTAGGTACGCGATATCCTATTTTTATCTCGCGGCAGGCGAACGAAAAAGAAAAAAAAAACACGAGTACGCGTCTTTCGGTAGAACGTCGAGTCTAATTGAGACACGATCTTTGTCTAACAGTTAAACTCTTATCAGGCTTGTCTATCTGTTACGTATCTCCGCGCGACGGCGATAAGGAAGAAGGGCGCGCGCGCGCCGGCGTCCTCGACACACACACACACACACACAAATGCACGCGCGCGCGCACCCACACACACACCGGAAGAGTGCCAAGGGATGAGAAAATACACGAGCACATGCAGGTGAGAACCGCGGAGGAAGATTCTACGAAGACCTTCGGGTTATCATCGAGCGCGGATTAGCGAGTCGCGCTTTGATGTAGGCCGCCGCGCACACGGCCTTATCTAATCGCGGCGCTGCGCCGCGAGAGAGATGTTGCGCGATGCCTCCTTGCCTTTCTTTATTTCGACTGTATAAAGCCTGCTCGACTCGTTATTTTTGTTATTCTCGGTGATTCAGCGCCGCGAGTTCCAACTTTGCGCGAGAGCAGACTGGATTTTTGCCGCTCGCGACAAACAAGCCGCTGAAAAGCGTTATCAGCCCGATGACGATGACGCCAACGAAAATAGAAGAAAAAATGCTCGAGAGCTTACCCGCGGCACGCAGGATTCGACGCCGATTAACTCTCGCTCGCTTGTTTCGTGTCGCGGGGCGTCTTCGCCGCTGCGATTTCGCAACGCCGGCCGCGTCATTCATCGTGGAAAAACGAATGCGAAAAAACGCGATCCGAGCTACGCGCGGGAACGCAGGCTAATTGCCGTCGGCCGGTGATCAGCGGCGGGCCGACGTGCGACGAGAGCTTGCGAGGGCGCGAGACCGACGAAAGTCGCGAAAAAAAAGCTGCGGCATACCAGGGTTGGGCTGATAGCTGTTCCTGCGCATCCATCCAAATTGGTAGCGGACGTGCGGCACCGATGGACCAGCGGCCATCTGGTCGACGACGATGTTCTGCGACGCGACGCTGAGATTGTTGGCGGCCGACACTGCCGGCGGCGTGCCGGCGTTACTGTGGTCGCTGATGCTGGCATGGGGGCTATGCGTGCCGCTGCTGGCAGCGGCGTGATTGCTACATACGTCTTCGTTGGACCAGTCGACTGCTGGCAATTGTTGCGCGACGTTACTCGCGGCGGCCACGAGCATCTGATGATGGTGTTGCTGCTGCTGCTGCTGCTGTTGCACGTTGTTGTTCGTCGAGAAGTGCATCTGCTGATGCTGGTACACGTTATTCGTGGCGATCTGCATCTGCTGATGGCCGTTATTCGCAACCTGCATGTAGTGATTCTGCTGCATGTTGGCAAGGTGCATCTGCTGCTGGTGATAGACGGCCTGTTGGTGTCGGCGATACTGTATGTAGTGGGCGGTCTGCCAGAAGGCTTGCACGGGCGCACCGGCTGCCTCGGCGCTGTGCTGGTGATGATGGTGCTGCTGCTGCGCCGGCAACTGTTGATGCTGGGCCAGCTCGGAATGTTGCGACGGCGACTGCTGCTGCTGCTGTTGCTGCTGCTGCTGATGTTGCGGCGACGGGTACTGGTATTGATGCGGCACGTACCACGAGGTGCACTGCTGTTGAGTGTGAGTGCTCTCCATCACGTGAGTGGGACTGTGACGCGACGTGGACGGCAGCGAAGCGGGCGAGCCCGGTGAGACGTTCTGCGGCTGGCGTCCGCAAAATCCGGGGTTGTAGTAAACCATGTTGCTCACGTCGGTCATCTTCTTGGACACTGGCAGTCCGGCCGATGGTCAAACGCGCACACGCACTTGCACAGAAACTAAGGCACTGACGGCTACCGTGAGACAGGTCAAGACGCCGACTGGTCCGACGACTAGTCGAAGGTCAACCGGGCTTGGACTCGCTCTCAAAACGGACGATGCTGCGTTAATGCGCCACGGTAGGCCGCCGAGCGGCTTTTATTCTCCGTGGCTCCGCCCACCGAGACCCAGCCCCACCGCGCGCCGCGACCGACCAATCGCCGCGCGGCCAATGGCGCCGCCGCGCTTTCTCTCGGCCACCCTCCCTGCCCGCCGCGCGGCGCGCGCGCCTCCGCCCGACCGCGACGTCGTGCGCGCGCGATTAGCCCGAGATCGATCGCGACTTCGACCGTCGTCCACGCACGCGGTGCGCGCCTCGGCTGCCGATCGCGTCGGTCGACCGACCGATTCGCTTTTACCCCTCCGTAAACGCGAGCCTGCTCCGCCGATTGCGCACGCCGAGCCCTGCGTGCCGAAGGAATCGTCGCGCCCTCGTTCGATCCTGTCCTCGACAACGAGTTATACGCGTGCGCGATAACAATGGTACCGCGGATCTCGCGCGCGCGCACCCGTTCGAGATGACGGCAGGCCCACGTTTATTCCAAGATAATCACGCGCGATGTTTGTATACACGCGGGCTGCGCCGGTCGACTCGAACAAACGGTGCCCATAATCATATGCTCGGCAAGCCATTCGACAGAGGTCGTCGTTTTCAAACGTTTCGCGCTACGATCTTTTTTATTCATAATTATCGTCGTCAAAGTATACAAGTATTCTCTGGATTTTGTATGACGTTTCATCGATTTTATGATCTCATCATGGTATTTTGTACTGGTGGCTAAACATTCGCTTAACACAAAACGATGGAACCCTACGAGTCAAGTGTTTCAAAATGTGCTTTGTTTTAAAAGTGAATTGGATGAAAGCAAATAAAGATTATTGTAAAGATTTCCCCCATTGTTTGAAAGTAATTGACTCAACTGCAGAATAAAGCCTTACATCATAAAAAAATAAAACTATCCATAACCACATTTCATTGTCAAGCATAGAAAGAGGCTTTTCAAGGCTTTCTCTCAAACAAATAAATTAATTATGTTGAAGCTTTTTGAGGACATGTTTCACGCACGAACAAAGCACGCTCAACTTTTCCGTTCAAATAAAATTTCGTGAAATCGAGGAAAAATATTAAAACTTTTTTTTCACATTAATTCAAAGTTGTTGTCTTCCTTGCCTTTAAATTTATGAAAATAAGAGTTGATCACTCTTAAATTATACACAATAACTGTACATACAAAGTTTAAGCCTAATTATTAATTTATCTTTAGAGAAAATCATGAAAACTGAGTTTCTAGTCAGTCAGTGACGCGATAGAGCATTCATTCGAGTAGTATGAATCAGCCTTGCTTTATAGCTTGAATTTGCTGGTTTCAGGAGAGGGACACTCTTTCTGTGACGAATTTCTAAATTCTACGGTGATCTTAGAAAAATCATGAAATGCTTTAATATGTAAGATCTGTAACCTTTATAGTTTTAGTTGGTGTGCCAATTTTATCGCACCACACTGTAGTTTTTACTACATTAGTACATTACGATACAAGTGTGGGAAAGTAGATTCTTGTCTCGTGTGGCGTTTACGCCCGGGCGACGCGAGGGTGGAAAGGTACACGAGACGAGAAACTCTTTCCCGAAAATGTGCCGTGCCGTATTTTTTGATACGACGTGTGGAAAGTGCGATTTTCAACGCACGTTTTTTGCCGAACGTGCGGGAAAGAGGCACTTTGCGCACGGAGTGTCGAAATAATTATAAAATACCGTTTAAAATATAATTTTAAAATAAAATTATAAAATATTTTAATAATTTTTAGGCTTAATAATAATAATATTATTTTTCAACAACTTGAAGGGTCGCAACACCTGGTAAATCTCAGTCGTCAATCTTTGTCATTGTGATGGCGCTTTCCTCTTCCTTTTGCATTTCTTGCCAGGTATAAGGATGGACATCTTCGGGTAGTGAACAAATGAAAGCACACTGAGAGAGAGAGAGAGAGAGAAATTTTTCGAGGGGGGTCCCATAACGGTAAACTTTTTAGCTTATTGAACGCGCAGCTATTAGTTGGAGGGTCCTGCAAGTTTAATGTCTTTATGGCTCTCGTCACGCTAAGATTTTTGTGTAATTCCTCCCACGAACGTGACTTCGCATCGTTTTGGATACTTTTGGGATATTTCTCGGTCCCGATTTTGAAAACAAGACACCCTTATATCTTGCATGTCAATCTTCGGCAAAATTGACAACTACTGTCGGTGACCTAAGAGCTTTACAGGCCGGTTCTTAAGCAATGCTCGCACAATTACCTGCAATTATTCTTCCAGCTTGGGCCATTGTAACCTCTCTTTCAATTTCACATACTGACTCGGGTGCGGTGCCTGACATGGTGCTGGCGTGTGCCCAGACGTACGCTGTTTACCTTCCAGAGCTGCTGTAATTCACTTTAACAAACTGCTGTCCTAAATCATCTTTTTCATAAAACAATGGAAGCTTTCTCCAAATGCTTTTTGCACATTTTTTTCCCGTAAAATTTCAACTAAAAAAGATTCCACCACAACGAAAAAAAAAGACAAAAAAGCAGACGAAAAAAAAAAAAATGAAAAAAACAGCCAATTCTTTACAGCTGTAAAATGCACGTCAACTTATTTTTTTAATCACGCGATAAATAAAGCAGTTGCAGATAAGCAACGAGATATAAGTTTGAACCGCCCAACTGTCAACGAGTTTTCAAAATCCCAGTGGAAGCTATCGCGTACCTTTCAACTTATTCTTGAAAGTCAAACTGTTATAACAGCGCTACCATGAAACATTGAAAAGTCGAGTGCCAATCTTGATTTATTCCGCCTATTCATTAATGGTTTGACTTCCTGACTTCCGAGAGGCGTGTTTCCAACAACAAAGGACGGCCTAATCACAAGCCATATAACCCTTTTCACGCGACCCACGGATTTGGTGACAAACTTACCGTCAGCCTGCAAAAGATTTCTAATTTACACCCGTCATTGACTTACAGATTGGTTTGGAGGCACAAGTGCATAAAGATATTTATGACTACTTACACCCAGCTGAATTTTGCTCATAGTTCAAGCCTAACATCTGTGCTCATTTATCTTGGTTTTTCAAGACCAAGATTGTGGTTATAGATTATTCTTTCTACTTCGAATTGGTGCTTATTTCATTTATAAACGTTTTTAATGATTTTATGACTTTTCGTTAGGGGGACACTTTTCCCAAAATAGCTTTCCCATAATGATTATTTTTTTACAAAGCCCAGTATTCTCAAGCCATTTTTTCTAAAATATATTTTTTAATGACATATTTGATCTGATTCTACTATCATATTAAAAAAATATTGTTGTATAAATGTTCTAAGAATAAGTTCATGAGATTACTTCGTATCCATCTTATTCTTTTTCAATCCACATCTCTTCATAATCTATATTCGTGCTTATAGTTCTTCTTTTAATCCTTCTTAGAAATGGAGATGGCCGGATCTGAAATAAACCAGTTTATTCATAATCTGATATTGATCGTTACGGAGTCATTGTTATGTGTAAATCGTTTCACATATCGATTTATGCTCATTCAATTAAATAAATAACACTAAGTATCACAATTTTTATCATCGGCCTAATCTTAAAATAATACGATAAAGTAACCGTAATGCACTCCAATTACATTTATTCAGAAGACATAAATTTATTGACTATCTTTCACTTTTAGATTCACTTTTGGATCCTATCATTTTATAAGAAGGAACAAACGTTTTGGATGACCGTAATTTTCGTAAAACCATATATTATAAGACATTCAACGTATTGTTATATAATACATTTTAATCGTATTTTTATGTAATTTTGCGACATGAGCACAAATTTTTATATATCGACAAAAGAATTTTTATTGTTCTAATTGAATAAGAAACAAATAGAGATAGCGCTGTTTAAATTAAATGCGAAGAATACATGGATTCGTTAAATTACTTTTTTTTTCTACGTGTTCTATGAGGCCCTCGCCACATATGCGCGCGTACGAGGGCGTACAAACGCGTACAAATCGCTAAAAATTTTGATAGTGCCACAACAGAAAATTACTACTATTCCTCGCATGCCCCAAACGAACACACTTACTCCCGGAACAAACGTATCATAACGCTATATTATTGAAGGTTATGATACGTTTGTTCCGGGAGTAAATGTGTGAGGGCCTGAGATTGTAATGCAACTCTTGCCTGGGCCATTAACTTTATTCGCTCTCTCTCTCTCTCTCTCTCTCTCTCGCTATCGCGTAGCGTGCTAGATGACACTAATGTTTACAACATTTTGTGTTATGTCCTTGTTGACATTTAGTATTGCATCAATTTGAATTTTATATTTTGCATCGAAATTTAACGTCCACAATGATTACTAAGTACAGAACTGGTGATTTTGTGCTCACTTTAAAAGTTTTCTTGTACATAGACGGTTTTTTTTTTATTACAAGATTTCGGATATTTTTCTTCGACATTGAAACTGCCGAAATTTGAATACGTTATACCTAATTAGTGTGAGGCTTACGTCCGAACGAAGTGAGGATGAAAACGCACTCGAGACGAGAATCTGTTTGCCGAACATGTTAGCTGCGATATAAATCCTTTCCCAAACCTTCGTCGGATAAATTACAACAATAAAGTCACATAATTTTTTATTAATCAAGAGACGTTTTTATGACTTTATAATTTTGAGCAATTACAATATATTTCTTTCGTTATACATTATCAAATTAAAAAACTGATCGATTTATCTTGAATAGTTCCTAAGAAAAGGTCTATTCTGGTTTGGCCAGCGATTTTGAAGAGCGGAAAGAAATTTTTTCCAAACGTGCTATCTAAATCGGATGATTACTTCCACTTCCTCTACCGTTTCGCCGCGCCACGGTCCGTTGAACAATCAAGCGGCCATCAGCTTTCGACAATTTTTTTAATACATTTTATACAATCCCCAAGCAAACATTTGTTCATGGTACACAACTCGTGATACCGGCCATGACAGTATTTTTTTGTGCCGTTACCAAAACATCTATTGTTTAACAATAA